CTTCATTCCTTGCAGCATAACAGTCAAGATCCTGAAATTAAGGATTACTGCAGGATCGCTGGGGTTTAATTGTGTGTGTTAAACATAAAATCACTGTAACATAGTGTCCTACTGTATTAACTCAAAACACATTTTTATTTCAATTCCTCTCCCTTAAGTATCTGCAATTTATTTGTATTAATTTGCTGTCTAAATGTGTCAGTACTGTATAATGCAAAAATAAATTAAAAAGTAAAAGGTCCAAGTGGCTCTTTTTTCTTACACTTTCTTATGTACTGATGTGTTTGTGTGGCTGCCTCTGTTGATTGCTGCCTACCATCTGCTGCATTTGTTTTTAGAGTTCATGTTAGCAAAGAAAGTCTCTGGAGATCACAATGTTTAGTACTGTATTAGTGGTATCAATTAAAAAAAGAAAATATCCATGATATTACGACATTTTAAAATTCTATTTTAAAAGAACTAAAATATTTTCTACAGCTGTATATTCAGAGAAATTGTTCTGTATATTTTTGGATTCAATTTCTTGAATAAATCATCCGTCTGTCACTGATGGATTACAGCCAATTCCTAACACAGTAAATATGTCATGAGGGATTTTAATCCCGTATGTTCAATACAAGTTCATCATTTCTTTTCCACTTTAAGGGGACTTTTATTCAGAAACATAAAAACTCAACACTCTTTTTAAATAGTATTTAACCTTAAAGCATTGCACAAGGTAAATCTGAGCATGATTGATTTGTTTCTGTGAAATTGTTTTTTCTACATGATATTTCTACATGTAGTACTTAAATGTAGGCACATTATTAGATGATCACAGGGTCTCAAGCAGCTGAGCAGAATAAAATAGGAGCATTACTCGTGGCTGCTCAGAAGGCCTGTAGTGTAAGTCTTGGCAGTGAGTCCTCTGATCTTGTCTCCCAAAGCAGACACTCACAGTCTGAGTCTGATGCAGTGATTTGCTCTTCTCAGCTTTCCTGCAATCTAATGTTCTGTTTGACTTCCTAGCCACGTGGGAGCTTTCAGTGCTTTGACTAAAAGTCACACTTTGCCTTCAGTTGATGGGGCCTAACTGCAAAAATTATTAAGTAGTTTATTTATTTCCAATCTGTTCCAATTCCAAATGTGATATGGGGATGTGTGTGTGGGAAAGGAAGGAGTACATGAACAAGGAAATAAAGAGTTGATATATTTAAAATTGTATTATTATGTAGTATAAGCCTATATGGAGGATTTTTCTTTCATTTTCTAATGTCTTTGTTTTTTATCCCCTTTTACAGTACATGCAGATTCAAAAAGGTTGAAACAGAAAACTAGCATCCCTGTCATTTATTTGATGTGGAAGTATAGTGAAAGGTAGATGTAAAATTAAAAGAAAGAAGTATAGTATTGGGTTTTATACTGTATTACTGATACTGTTTTGTTCATGATATGATTCCCACAACATGGAGGTCTTCTCTAATGGAAAAAAAGTGATATCATTCAAATTAATTCAACCCCCCAAAAAAACTATTGCTAATAATTTATATTGATTTAATGTAAACCCAAGTCCACGACAAGCTGCCTTTGCAACTAAAATCCAACTTGTTTTGGCTGTGTGAGATACCACACACAAATTATCACAAATTCTTGTGACACAAGTGGCACAGAAGAGTCTAGTACTTCAGTCCTTGCCCCCTCTGCAGCAGCTGTGCGTGGATGTGTCAATGGAGCAAAAATATCATCATGAAGTGACTGGAGAGTCATGCGCTGCCAGACCACAGTAGAGTGCTTCCACAGTAGCAGACACACTGTTATATGGAATGGTGGTAAGGACCAACATAATTATCAGGGACAGAACATTCCCTGTCCCAAGTCTTTGAGGATCTGTGCCATTGATTTGGTACTAGGAAGAACCAGAGCAACCCCATGCATCAACACACAGATGGTTAAGTGAAGTGGATCAACCACACCCACGAACCCACCTTCATGATGCGCCACCAGCTCTCCCTGGCCTTACTGGTAAACCGAACGGCTGTGGAAGAGGGTCCAAGCTGCACCTAGGCATCCCTCAGTTTTGGATAGGCCTCTGGACATACAGTATGTCAAACTGGTCTTTACCATGCCACCTAGCAGGGACCTCCTGTTAAATGTAAAGTCAGACTATTTAGTGGAGGTAGGACTTCCTTCGTCCACATGGTCACCAGGGAACCCTTGACCACTGTTGGTGTCCGTCAGAAGAGATACTACAATCTGAAGACACCAGGGCACCTATTTGGCCTAGGCTATTGGGTGTGACAGTTCTGCTCCAGCAGAAGAACAAGTAATGTCCCACACGCCATCCCTCCTGGGAGGGTCCATGAACAGTGTTGGAGAGACTATAAGAGGTGATGTATAGGGTTGCAAGCTGGTTCTCCGCCAGGAAAGTTTGATGCCCTACTGAGCTTCTCAGAACCTTAATAATTCAAGCAATGGCATAGAGAATCCTGAAGCAGAGGAAAGGGGAGCTGAGCTGGAGGTGCACAGTGGGAGAAATGTCCCATTTTTGGGGTTGCAGTGTGGGAATGGCAAAAGGAATCCACCCAATCATTACACTGTAGCATGCATGTTTACTGGTCAAGTAGGGAATAGTAGACAAGGATGATTAAAACACAGGAGGGGGCAATTTAGTGGTCACTTCTTCACTGCCTGGCAGTTGAACTTTAGAGCAGTATTGTTTAAGCCTAAGCATTATGACTTTCAGTCTTCATTGTGTGCAAGAACCTGAAAGAGTTAAGCAATGCTATTTAATGGTTACAGTAATATATTAAATGAATAAGAATTCTGAACTTTAAAAACCAAAAACTGTGTTTTCAATTAATTTCATGCAATATTAAATTACTGAAGACCTGAAAATCCATAATTAATAAACACCATTTGGTCGCCTTTTATCTCCTGAATATTTGTAGTGCTTCAGCTTATCCCATTTTAATTTTCTATTTCTAGGCAACATATTCAAGGCTTATACTAGAACTGTAACTTGTTCCCTTTTAGCCCTCTCTTTCATAGACTTCAAATACAATATAAAATCAAAAAGCCATAAGCTATGGGATACCCTAATTTACAAACATAAAGTGGCCATTTTATTGCTTTTTCAGAAAATATATATACTTCGTCTCATATCTGAGGTTACTTAATGCATTAGGTATTAAAAAGGCCATAATTAAAGTCTAAGAAGGAAAAGAAAACTGAGTACAGAAATTATATACTCAGGTTTCTCTTATACAAAGCATGAGTCTCTTTGTTGTGAACTTGGATGACTTTACAAAAGATTGATTGCAGGAGTGGGAGGGAGAGTGTTTCTGCGTGTTCTGTTGAAATGCAATCCTTGCTCTCATTCTAATATTTTTTATTCATTTTAAGGAATGTTGATTGTCAGATTTTTTTCTTCGAGCAGGAAACCCTAATAATGTGTTCTCAAACACTGTATTCTTGGCATCCCAAATGAATTCCTCCATTGTCAGTCTCTTTGCTGTTCCCTGTTATTTCTAGCATACCTGACAGCATGTCTTTGTCTCCTGGGACGCATAATGTGTGCAAGGCTGTTGAGCGAGAATAATACAAACTCATGTAAACTAAAGGCACTAAAGGCCTTCTTAAACAAATATGTTATTACCCCTGATTTAAATGTTATCAAGGACTGGGCTGTCTTAGTATCATGAGGCATGTTATTCCAGAGACATGGAGAAATGGAACAGAAAAAAAAGTCTCCCATAGAAAACAGCTTAATCCTTCAAATGCAAAGTTTAAATTAGGAAGTATACCTGGAGTTCAGAGACGAAGTCTGCAGCTGGAGCAGCCCATTAAGACAAGAAGGGCCAGTCCCATGAACACATTTAACAATCAGCAGCAAAATCCTAAAGGCAATTCTAGAACTAACAGGTAGCCAGTGTAGGGATATCAGCACTGGTGTAACAAGTTCCAGATTTCACACCTTCAGCAGGATCAAGGAAGCGCAGTTCTGAATGGGCTGATCTTGGCAATATTTTTTAGGTTAAAAAAGGAAATTTTTACAAATATTTTAATGTGATTATGCAAAGGAAAGGACGGATCCATTCAACACCAAAGTTAGTGACAGAGATACAGTAGTTTCTTGAATGTTATGACTGCCTATAGTGAGATGAGAGATATTGGCATGCTGGACCTCATGAAGGGTGCCCACCAACAGTACATTTGCTTTGTACTGTTAAATTTTAGAAAATTACACCTCATCTAAGCCCCAGCCTCCTCAAAACAAACACTAAAACTCTAAGAGGCTTTGCAGCTATGCTTACATAAAGCTGAGTATCATCAGCCTAGCAGTGAAAACTAATACAATGCTTCCTTATGATTTCAGCTAATGGGTGTAGATAGAGGATAAAGAGAATGGGCCCAAAAACGGAACCTTGTGGGACACCACAGGAGCCCTCATTGGAAACATTGAAAACAGTTTTAGTGCATCTAAGACCCTCAGATGGTAACATGTTCCATACAGTAGTGCCCAATGGCGACTTGAACATGGAAAACTACTGTATGCTCCTTTGTATGACTTTAAGATAATTTAAATCCATACTGTCTTTTGTAAATGAAAAATAGTTCGAAAATAGTTTTTTATCTTGTATTCACATTAACAAGTGTAAGAAGTAAAGCATAATAGTTCAAACAATCACATTTTAGAGATTTTAGATCTTTTATTTATGTTAAAGTGTAATGACAAAAATGGAAGACATTTAAAAACTTAAAATCTCCACAAATCAAGGGGAATAACACAAAATGTGTTTTCAATACATGTGCTAAGTTTGTCACCCTTGTGTTAATTCTGGAAATCATAGAGACACAAACTGTGAGCATTGCATGAATAATTAATTTGCTTAATAGTACCAATAGTATTGTGAAAAAAAATAAAATTTGCTGTCTCTTGCAAAATAAATTTCATATTAAATTTTTACGCAAAAATAACGTTTCGGACCCGTTAAATAATTGTACTGTATTTAACCTTTCAGTTACTTAAATGAAATGGTTTTATTAAAAACCTTTATTAAGGATTTTTTTATTTCTTTGGATTTTAGTCCATACACAAGTGGATTGAATAATGGAGGGATTATAAAAATGAGCATCCCCATAATTTTTTGTAAATTCTCTGAAACATTTTTAAACCGGTGTGAGAGTATTGTAAAAGTACCGACAAATTCAAAAACACAAAATATAATCAACTGGGCTACGCAAGTATTGATAGCTTTGTTCTTTGCTTCAGACTTTCTTGTTGCTAAACACACAATTAAAATTTTAACATAGGATAACATTTGCACAGTTACACTAATTACTTGTATGACAGCTGTATTAAATAAACCCAATATGTTATTAATGCTCGTGTCTGCACACGAAAGCTTAAGAAGAGAGGGGTTGTCACAAAACACATTCAAGACAGAATTCCTGCACCTATTAAGTCTTATCTGAATGGAAAACAGTGAGATTATTAAAATGAAATCAATACCCCAAACAAGTATAATAATGATCAGTATATTGTAAGGGGTCATGATAGTGTTGTACCTTAAAGGCTTGCAAATGGCAATATATCGATCAAATGCCATAGCTGCTAATATGAAGAGAACTCCACCTCCATATATGTGTAGAAAGAACCCCTGAAGAACACAAAAAGAGTAGTAGATGGTGTTTGTTTCTGTTAAAATATCTGAAAGCACCTTTGGAAGCATGGCTGTGATTCCAATCAAATCATTGAGCGGTAGGCTGAAGAGGATGAAATACATGGGCTTGTGAAGGTTTTTCTCAGCAACAATTAATGCCAATATTGTAAGATTGCTGAAAACACAAAACAAGTAGATCCCTAATCCAACAATGAAAATAGGGTACTTTCCTCCCATTGGTATAACAAAGGGATCCAAAGTCAATATAAAGCTGGATTGTAATGAATTGTTCTCCATCTTGTAGTGTCTTCTGCAAGTCTGTAAAATAAAAAGCAAAATAATTATTTTTTCAGACATGGTTGTAGTATTTTATTCTTAGAAGTATAAATGAAGATTAATTCACTATGCAGACATTTTGTGATTTACAGATAGCCTTGGCCTGCGCTTTAAAAGATTCAGCAGCTAATATGAAGAAGACTCCAGCCCAATGCATGTGAAGCAAGAACCCCAGAAGAGCACAAAAAGGGTAATACTGTAGATGGTGTTTGATTCTGGAAAAATATCTGAAAGCACTTGAGGAAGAATAGCTGTGATTCCAATCAAGTCGGCAGGACAGGATGAAATACATGGGCCTGTGAAAGCTTTTCTCTATAACAATAAATGTCAATCTTATTGAAGACCATATTACAAAATGAGGAAATATTAATTGTAAGAAACAATTTAGAAATGTAGAAATGCAAGATTAATTGTGTGACGTTAATTATAAATCAGTTATTGTCTTCTCAAAGCGGCATAACTTGATCAATGTTAAACCTAAAAAAGGTAATATTTTGCTAGACATTGAAAGCAGCTGTTCATTAATACTGGTACTGAAGATTAAAAACAGTATGCTGAAGAATCCTGTACTTGTTACACGTGTGTAGGTTTTCAGTAATGATCTAATCTAGTCTTTAAAACTACTGCTAGTTTCAAGCAAACATGCTACTTACTCATAACAAATAAGAAAGAAGCAGTGAATAGTTTTGAGATTCTTTTGTATCCTTTTCAGTGTTGATCCTTATCTATTTTTTTTCTTTGCATTGTGTACCACTCATTCTCCTTTAAATTCACTATGTTTACTGTAAAGCTTGTGAAACAGCTCCGTGTACACCTACCTTTTGTTGAACAGTTGAATAGATTACAAATGAGTGCTACAGTTTGCCCCGTCTAGCTTTGTTTTGGGCTGTAGTTGTTTGTTTCTTTTTTTAATCTAAATGATCCGAGGATTTTACCTAACCGTTTCTTTAAAAGAACTACAATACTAGCTTCAACAAGTTCACTGAGCAGTTTTTGTGCCAGAATCTTACAATCCTTTGTCCAAAAAGGAGCTTCTTGTTCCCAGTTTCAAATGCACCTCCCCGGAATTTCTGCTTGTGCCTTCTGGCTTGTGTTTCTCCGAGAGTCACTTTCACTGGTGTTCCTTTCAGTAATGGGACAAGAAGATATGGATTTCCCTCCCACGGTCTAATTTGCATAACAGCCAATGTGTACCAGCTTGGACCTGAACAAGCGCATTACATGGCAATTTTCAAAGTTTACATAACCTAAAAAAGGACTCCTGAGAAAAATAACTACCAAAGTGTTGTCATGCAGCCATATATAAACAATAAGATAGCATCTTCTCTTGTAAAAACCCATGAGATTCTACATACAGGATGTATGTAAGACTCTAGTGGTACAGTAATTTATCTCTGTATATAATAAATAATATGGACAGGGAGACAAGGAATTCCTTAATGCCTGCCTTTCTATTAAAGTTGAAGTTTGTGTAAATATCCTTAGCAAAAAAATGTACTTTATATTTACACAAGATATATTAACAACACACAATAAAATAAATTATAAATTATGCTGTTTATTTCTTAATTCAAATGTATGTGTTCCATGGTCAGACAAAACAAAAAAGTACAAGATACAAGGTTCCAAAAACCAAAATCTAAAACCATTGTCATTAGTTCCTATTAGACCAGCTGTTCTCAACGCTGAAGAACTATCTCCTGGTTTTCATTCCAGCTGGACTCTTTATTACTGAGGCTAATGGGTCTGTTTAATTAATTCTCTTGATAATATGACCTTTTCAGCCTGTTCCTGTTCACTGTCCTTGGTTCAAAAATACTGTGTTGCATTTGTGTTGTTGCAAAGAAATTTAGTGAACTCAATTCTAGCTTGCTTGTTAAGTCATTGTTGTCTCATTTACCCTTAAATTGCCCTTAACAGGTGGCCAATTAATGGTAACCAGACACAGATGGGAATGTCACTTTATAGAATACAGCCACTGAAAGCATTAAAGCTCTGTTCCCCAGATGCTCAGTTCCTTACATTCTACAAACCTGAAGGGAAGCTTTAAAATCCAGAGACTGGTTCAGGTTGATAGCAATTACTAATCCCAGCCATTTCCCTATGAGCTGACAAAAATTATATCAGATAAGGTCAATTATCCTTATTTATCATCAAGAACCTAGTTGGAATGAAAACCAGGAGACACATGCATATTCAAGTATGGCCCTATTTAAGTATGTTGGTAAGGAAAATTCAAAGCAGAAAACTTTAAACTTCCTCATTGAAGACACAATGCCATGGGTACAAATGGACTAAGGCAGTGCAAGGCAAAGTAAAATCTTCTCCAATAAAGAAATTTATAAAGAGGCTTTATTTTGAATTCTCGTCTTTTTTCATTCATTTTTCATCTTTTTTTCTTACAAAATCCCTCCATTCCTTTTCTCCTAATACGGCAAGGCAACAATACCAGTTCTGGTTTTGGTTGATCGATTTAAAGGGGAATTATATTCCATTTCGTGGTTAGAAAGAACTGGCATTGATGAGTGTATTTCAAACAATAGAAGTAAAAGGTATTGCAAAATAGATTAATTTTCCAGGTATGCACAGCTCCATGTTCTGTGATTCAGAATGAGGCAACAAAACTTCCAGTGGTGTGAAGCAGCCCTATTAAATTGTAAAAGCAGGCTTGTGAATACAGTACATCTCTTTTAATCCAATGGAAATATTGTTCTTGACTTTGAGACCACTTTGCCGACAAATACTACTTATTTGTTAATTCTGTAAACAACCTGTACTTATTTGCTCCTGGATCTCATTACATTAGTCATTACAGTGACTAGTGAGCAGAACGGGGCACTTCACATCACAATTTGTACAAACTCTCGGTATTGCTCGTGGAGAAACCAGGGGTTTGCAACAACGGGGTGACTTCCAGTACTTTCACAAAATTCACAATTTTGTTCTTAATTCCAAATTTGTAATTTCTTTCCGTACCATCAATGAATTTATTTTGTTACTGAGATTTCAGCATGCTGAGACAACACAGACAGACCTAAGACTGTGCTTTGACACTTCAGACTTAAGAATAAAAATAAATTCAAGATATGCAATAATGAACCTTACAATAAACAGAAACTTTAGCAATAATTCCAATTACAGTCAACTGCACTCAATTATAGTTACACTCTTTGATACTCATATACTGTATATTGTAATGCTGCCCAGGATTTGGTGTCTTTGAGAGGCGGAGCCTTGTTGAATGAGCCACATATTTAAATGCAACCTGACTACTTCCCTGAGAGGAGACCAAGCCAGGACATAAGTCCTGAACTAGCTGTAGGCTAGAACAGACAGGAGATCTCCACTTGCCTAACATAGTTGAGGCTTGGTAATGAAAGTGACTGGATTGAAGCAGAAAAAGAGGGAACAAATTGCTACTTATCTGCCAGTTAGGAGCAGGTGTGAGTGTCTAAGGTGAGCATCTGTGTTATGAGAGAGAGTTAGGGAGAGAGAGAAAACAGACTAGCACCTGTAGCTTAGTTAACCCTGATAAGGGGAATAGGTTATGAGCTACGATCTTAAAGGGAGATTGCGAAATCAATTGCGTTTGTGGTCTGAATCCTGGGAGGGCCTAGGAAGAATGACTAACTACAGTTAGCAGCGGTAGCCAGGCACAGAGAAAGGTGTGCAGGCTGCTGCATCTACACAGGCTGAGATGCGAGAGAGAGGCACTGGAGATATTGTGAGTGTGGGACTCAACCTAATAATGTCAGAGGCAGGAGGTGGACCTAGAAGTCTGAGAGCTGGTTGGTTGTGAGAGGGCCACTGGCTATGATGGGGAGCTGGAAGCTATAATAGAGCCAGGGAGTAGGAGGCGTTATACAGTATGAGGTGTGTAGGAGCGGACAGGCTCCTTGCAGGATATACTGTCATCAAGGAGCAGGGAATGCCTCGAAACATGGCAGCCTAGGTCATTGCCATGTTGGCCCCTCTGGTAAGGTAAAGAAAGCAGTAGAGTGGGTCCAGAAAACGGGATCAACTGAGTTGAGGACCTTCCACTGCTACTCGCTGAAAGGGTCTAGAGAGTGTGCGAGAGTTGGAGGTGAATCTTGTCGTGCCAGGGATTAAGTGAGCAAAGGGTTTTGCAATATGAGGGACCTAATAATAATCTCGGGGGAGATCATAATAGGACAGTTATGTGAGCAAATGATCCCTGGGCCCGAGATCAGAGATCTCAATCTACAGTATATGTGTACCACGTGTCCTTGTTTCCCTGGTGATGTGAGGGGGTTGTGGTCATCACAATTCTCTGAGTAGAGAGTGTGAAAAAAAAGTGTGAAGAAGTTCCCCAGTAGGCTATGAGGGGTGTGTCCATAGTAGAAACCACAACACCGTGGCAATGCAATATATACATTTCTATAAAAGAAGTGTTTGACATTTTAGACACTGTCAGAAGTCATAATGTACTGTATATACTATGAGAATCAGCAATTTTTTCAGGCCTTATTTTTAAAGCAGTATTTAGAGCCTTTTGGTAGTGTTTTCTTCTATTATACAGTAACAGTCATTAAAATGCATCTGAGAAGAAAACAAGTTTGTGATTTTCTCACCAGAGTTGTGATGTGCTCTGGTGAAATGGATGTGGTAAAAGAGTGAAACTGCAAGAAACATTCTCAACCAATGACCTTGTTCATCCCTGTCTAATGCAATCATGGCTGTCCCGTACAATTGAAAATCATTCACTTGCTCTGTACATTTTACCCTTGGATGGTAAAAAATGTTAATTTAATTTTATAGTAATACATTTTGTATTACTGTAAATTGTGAGAAATATATCAATGTCATCTTCATGATTCATAGTTAATCAAAATAATCATTATAATAGTATTGTGAGACAAAATAAAAATTCCTCATGAAGGAAAAAGAAAAAAATCCTCATCGCCCTCTCCTGCTCAATAAATTACAGATTATGTTTATGT